AAAGAGATGTAAATTATTGAAAAGGTTTTAGTTAGGGAATAATACTAATTAAAAAGTAGTTTTGTTTTCGACTTTCTAAAAACAAATGAAAAAGTTTTCCAAAAAATAGTAAAAAAAACAAAACAAGGACAGGGCACGCGTGCCTACTTTCTCTCCAACAAATACCAAAACCTCCCATTTCAACATCATCATAGCTTTAGGGTTTTGCTTTTCTTGTTTTCTTTTTAATTTTATTGAACATTTTCAGGATGCCGGTGGATCCCACGAAAACACCTCCTCCTCCGGCGAGGCGAAGATGACGGAGCACCAAGTTGCAAAGCTAATGGAAGAGGACATGGGATCAGCCATGCAATATCTACAAGGCAAAGGTCTTTGCCTCATGCCCATCTCGTTAGCCACCACCATCTCCACCGCCACGTGTCCTTCTCGTAGCCCCTTCGTTAAAGATACCGGCGTTCCTTTGTCTCCTAACCTATCCACTACAATAGTTGCTAACGGTAATGGCTCATCGTTGGTCACCGTTAAAGACGCTCCCTCCGTTTCCAAGCCGTGATAACGGCCATTTGTCCATTTCATTTTCCCTTTTTTGGGTGGGAAAGAGAGAAAAAAGTTTAGAAGACAAAGACAAGTGGGATAGGTGGTTTTGGTCAAAGTTTAGAAAGAATAAGGTCGTGTTTTCGGATACGACACCGTATTTGCGTACACTTTGGTTTTCTGTCTTTACCTACTACAAACCACCCATAAGCACACTCATGTTATCATGTTTTTTTTTTTTTGGTTTATAAAGTTATATCCTTAAATTTTCTATCACAGAACCGGTCTGGTCTAACAAATGTCGTCAATGATGATCATTTAGGCCAAAGAGTTTGTTTAAAACTCGTTATACTTAAGTTTCTAAATCTACACAACACAGGAATGTAACACTTAAGCAGGCTTAATTTCACCGTTTTATATACTCACATACTGAAGAAATTTATTGTCAATCGCCAATGTGGTCAGCGGTAAGATCTCATATAAATCTTCCTAGTAGTGTTCAAGAAAATCACTTAGAGTAGCATCTAACGTTTAGAACACCTAGTCAGGATCATTTTAGGTGGTTAAGAGTTTTGTAGAGTGAATTTGTATGGTATACCTCGACTATGACCTACTACTATAAACGAAATAACATGATCTTAATTTATCTTATAAGCACAAAAATAAACAGCAAGGACCGAGAAAACATATAAGATATAAACCATTTCCATATATACCAACGACCTCAAACGTTTACATGTTCAAACCGTCAGAATGTTTTCTACCACGATCGAAAAAAAATAGTCTGAATTGAAACAGAGGAAAATATAATATATCATTTCGTTGTAGAGTCTCTTCTTTTTATTGCTTTGGCATGAGGTTTGAGTTTTGACTTCAAGTACAAAAAATGAATTTATTTTGGGCCAAAAGCATGTGGGAAATAAATTACGGCGAAGTTTGGAAGTATTAGGCTTACAAGTACAATAGTCTGGGACACAATTTGACTAAAGGAGTGGGTGGCTACTAACTCCGCACCACACCCATTCATTTTTCTCATTTTTTACAGTACGATTGTAACCAGATCCCAAAACCTAACCTCTCGGCTCCTAAATAAGGCTCCAATAGTTAGTTTCTCAGTGACTTTTTTTTAATAGTGTAGAAAGTATATAAGATACATCCAACACCCCCATTGTTTAAACGGGTCAACATCAAGTTTTCTTTTCAACCACATAAATTTTCTCAAATTTAAATTGGGATGATCACAAAAGGACACTATTTCGAACTACTAAACTACATATCCAGCTCAAATTACTAATTAGTTTGGTGATTATTTGTTCAATTCGACACATAATCTCTCAATTTAAAGATTTATTTGTAAGATCAATCAATAATTCTATTAAAAAAATTGGAAAAGAGCAAAACAAATTCTAGGTGAAACAAACGTAGTACATTAATTGGAGAAACCATACAATGTACTAACACAAACTATCAGAACCAACTAGATTTAAAGCATTGATTCAAAACAAATCTGTATCTACCGATCAACAGTAGATTCTCATTTCCTGACCCTTAAATTTAAGCTTAGGAAAAGATGCTACCAACATGATTGACATGCAAAAATTAGTTCATACAATAACATATGTAAAGATAACAATCTATTACCCCATTAAAATATGTTGTTTCAAAGGAATAGATTAGAGAAAACGCATGAACTGGTTTAGCTTAATAGACCTAGGGCAAAAATAGTAATATCGATGAACAATATATGGTAATGTTGGATATGGGCTGCGTTGTTACTTATTTTACCCCTTTTGATATCTCGATCTTACAGTCAGATGAATCAAGTTGAATCAAGTTCTTGACTAAACAATACATGAAACAAGTAGATGCTAGAACTGTAACTCACCATATAAGATGATTAAATTAAGTCCTGATCAATAAGCTTGGTTACAGGTTCTAGCATATAATGTGGATTAAAAACCCAAATGAAACAAAATGGGAGACACATCAATTGGAGAGCACAACACACACACACCTTTTGACTGACACCATGCATCAACATGAATCAAGTTCTTGCCTAAAACATGTAGAGACGAAATACCTGAGAAATGTTCTCGGTTTATATGATATGCAAAGAGACGAGAGGAAGTGCTGGTGCATCTGTGGATTCTGATCATAGTGATTTTGCCAATCTTTGGCTCCTTGTCTAGCCACTTAATCCACCATGCTTAAAAATGTGTAAGTATTTATACATTATAAACCACCATAAACTCTTAAAATGTGAAATTTAATGAACAATGACAAACGTATAACGCAAATTATGTAAACAAACAGAGTACTAATTAAAATAGATGTTTCTCCACGATCAACAAGCTAGAAGGCTCATGTAAAGTGACTTAATTGGTTTACCTGTACACTTCCGATAAACCTTGAATTAGATATATCCTTGAAATGTCTTCCCACATGATATTTGATATCATCTTTCTGCAAAAGCAATAGAACACAAAATGAGGTTGTTATTATTGATTTTCAGACTGTTGTCGTAAAATCCACAATACAATATCATGTTCATGGTATAACTGTCTCTAGAGTTACCTAAACGCATACCAATGCACTTAATCATAATAATACGTCTTTCAGTTTATCTATCAAATAATCAGTATAGCTTAACATCCAAATAAAAGAAGACAACATAGTAGCCTAACACATCAGATGATGCAGATCACATGATATCAGAGTTATGATAAAATTTGCTTCTACATTCAGTCCCTAGTGATGACTACATGATACTCTAAATCAAACCAAAATATAATTTAGATTCTTTCAAACAGTTTATGAACAGAATCATCTCTATAGCTCTATCCCACTTCACCTGAAGTTTAATTGCTCACTCAAACTCACCAAAAGCCATGTGTCTCCCCATTTGTTATCTGTTTTATGACTTCAAAGAATGATTTCAGTGTGAAGTCCTTACACACCAATTCTGGTACTTAAGCAAATTTACAATATGGTTTCAGCAGACACACACACACACGGACTTTGCAGACTTGAATGTTTTGACTCATAATCATTGCAAATTTAGATTACAAGCACTTGATAAACTTATTTGAAGACATTGTGCATGCACTTAGACATCAAAGCTAGAGATCAAACCAACAAAGAATAAAATCAGATGATATAACACCAATTAAGCAACTTAATTAAGATCAACCATTTCAGTAGAAAAAACAACATTTTAGCAATTATTCATCTCCGTTGTTATCTATATCACGACTTCATTTGTGGACTTCAGGGTGAAGCACATTAGATACTAGTACCAAGAAACCTATTCACAATTTGATTTCTTCAAACTCAAACGCAAAGACTTTTCTCATTTATGCATTGACACTACACAGTACACAATATAAGCAAACTCTCATTACTCATTTATGGAACAGGAACAACATAAAGCCAACATTCTGAAAGAAAAACAAAACACCAACTCATGCATTTGCTTGAACAGATTATATAATGCAATTAGTAATCAAAGCAGACTTAGAAAAATCACTACAACACTAGGATTCATCAATTTCAAAAGCGACAATGAAGAAACTTGCAAGAAAAAAACGGATAATAGAGAGCATTAGGTATAGGGTTCAATTTTTCTTTTGGATCTCAACTTGCAAAGAAACCAAGTTAGTGAATGTCTACCTACTACCAAATAACATTAATTCCAAGGTAGACTTCAATGCCAACTAGCATTAATCCGTACAAACCTAACACAAAAAAGGAAATTATAGATCAAAGACCTTTTAAGACCAAACAGCTGGATTCAGTGCTTCATTACCAACTTGCTCAGAGAAAAAAACTCATGTTTCCATTGAAACAGTACGCAACTAGGGTATACATGAAATAGAACCGAACAACAATCATCATACACCAATTCCATCATAATGGCTTCTGGTGAAACCTGAAAGCCACTTCTAGTTTCTGATAGAAAAAGAAAACTTAATTTATGGTTCACTCGCATGGAGCAGTTAAGATCCTCAGAGAATTTCAACATGAAAACACTTTATAAGGAAAAAAAAGAGAGACAATCAATTAGATAGAAAATTAAATCTTGAGAAGAATGTGTACCGGTTGGGGTTCATGATCATCAAAACTCGCGCTTTCCCTAGATCGCACTAGAAGAATTCAAAATTGCAGCACACTTAACCAAATTACATTTATTAGTATTATAAACCCAACTATAAAAATCTGAGCTTATCTCCACCAAACTTCTAAAAAAAAAGCCTTAAAACAAACATTCTTATGCGTAAGCAAGCACCCACTTCCACATAACATAGAAAAACACACAACTAATGATTATCAAAACGCATTTGTCTTATACACATCACTAGCAAAAGTGCACAACAGACGAGATGATAAGAAGCGATCAAAGAAAGAAATGTCTAAGCCAAATTTGAGAGAGAGAGAGAGAGAGAGGTCAAGCAGGCAGAGATAGGCAACTGACAGAAAGAGAGGTGAGCACGCACACGCAAAGTTATCGACACATAACAGTGCCTGCATGTGCTCACTCTCTTCTGTCAGTTTTCTCTGTTGCATTCCTCAATCACCATCTCTCCCTCTTCTAGCAACTAATTCAAAAAACCTAGATGGATTAAGAACTCAACTTTCTTCTCACAGATCTCTCCAAAACCCTAATAAAAAAAACTTAAGAAATTCACTGCTCTTTCAAATTCCAATTCTCGAAGATTTGGTTGTTTGATAAGGCCATAAGGGTGTGTTTTCGACTTCTTTGAATAGACTCTAATGGCGAAACAGTCAATATATAAAGAGAGAGGATGGTAGATAGGAGCGAGAAAAGGGTTCAAAGATTGACGGAGATTGTGGTTTTTTTCCTTCTTTTAATTTCTTTAATCTTTCGTTTTTCCTTTCCAAAATGGAGAGACATGATGTTTTGTCAAAAAAGGGTTTAGAAGATTTTCTACACGTGTCTTACAGTGAGTGGGTGTTTAATTAACTTAATTAAAGTCGGGTTTCAGAGGGTGGCGCGTGTGTAACACAGCCGACGAAAAAATACTTAATACTGTATGTCCAATAAAATTCAGACCTACTTTTATTTCCTATTAATTTGATTTAACATTGATTCTGTAAGCAAAAGGTTTGACGGAGGAGGATATAGGTTTTAATGTTTTTGTTTTTGCGGTTACAGTGAAAGAGGTAAGAAATGATTGGGAAGTAGGCATGAGCGTATAAATCAAAGTTTAGTTTGATTCGATTTTATAGAGTGAACCAACAATAACGTTTTGTATTACTTATCGAATGAATCAAAGTTTACTTCTGGTGGCTACTTGGCTGCAAAATGAAAATGAGGTTGATGATTTACCAAGAAAGGATAACAGATCATGGAGCGAAAAAAGAATCAAGGATCAAAAGATGAAGTAAGAAAGAACAATCACGTGTTAGCTAGATACTAGATAGCATTAAAACTGAAATTATTTAGAACTTGTAAAATGGTTTGAGTGAAGGAAATATATGTATTATGTAATATTCGCTCGAATCGGTTTACCATTTTACTCTTAGAAGAAAAAGAGGCCTGATAGAATTTCTACCAAGGCCATCTTAGAGTAGGTATTTTAAAGGGTTGTTCTTTCTTGATTGGGTCAGGTTTCGAATTTCCTCTTTGGACACTAATCATGATGAGTCTTTTTTTATTGTCTGTTAGTACATACATCATACATGTCTTATCTTAATTAACTAATTACGTCAGGTAAATTGATGCTAGTGAAAAACAATTCCACTAACTCAGAAAGATATTTTATACTGAAATCATTAATGGCATTGGTACATTGTACATTGTACAGTTTCACTAATTACTATGGGTTAGTACTTAGTATTACTTTAATAGTATTATCTGATCCTTATTTTTCAGGTTTTAGATTCCCATTTAGACATCTTCCGTATACTTTTACAACTATAGTACTGTAAAACAAAACGAAAAGAATTTTAGTTTTGAAATCGTAGAATCCTGGACTAGTGACATGATTCTGCCATTCAATATTTTAAATATAAAAAATCACGTAAATGACTTTAGTGATTTGTCACCAACATTATCTAAATGTAGAGGAGTAAAAAGTACTAGTAAACTTTCAAATGTTGGAAATCTAAAACTACCATCAAATCAAGTGACAAAATTCTTGTACTAACCTCTGCTTAAAATATAGATAAACGAAGCTCTATTAATCATTTTGTCGACTTGAACAATAATAGCTATAATGAGAGCACATATACAGTGCACAACTTGTGGTTAGCTAAGCAAAGTTAGCAATTGACTAATTTGATTGATCGACTCATAAATCATATAAAATCAGTAAATTTATATATTTTCATTTAAACTATAAACAGAAAAATCATTAGGTCACTACATATCATATTATTAATAAAAAAAATGTGAGTTATCATTTATGAAAGCATTATGCTTATTATGAGTATCAGTAAATTTATATTTTCCTTAGTATCATGATAAACACTGGATTAGGGATCCGTCATGCTTCTATAAACATTATGCAGTGAGTCCAATAGCACAAGTAAGTACTCCTTGGATTCTTTCGCACGTGAATTTTTTTTTGTCTTCACTAAGGAAAATAATTATGGCGTTGTACACAGAAAAAAAAAAAAAAAAACAACTAGAAAAAAAAAGGGAAATTTGGAAAACTAACCTTAAAAAAAACTATAATTAAGAAAGTAACACTAACAAAAAAATGAGATGATATTCTTTATATTTTATATATTAATCACAACTTTACCCTCCTTCCTTCTCTCTCTCTTCTCCGCTTGTCTCTCTACTTCTTTTTTTTCTCTCTCCTTCTCTCCCTCTCTCCTTCTCTCTTTTCTTCTCTCTCTCCTCTCCGCCTTTCTCCTTACTTCTTTTTCTCTTTCTCTCCAAATGACCTCTTTGCTTTTTTTTGTTTTTAGTTATAGTTCATTAATTACCTTTTTGTGAGATTTATTTAGGTTCTAAGCTTTGTTTTTTCTTTTTTTGTCTTTTTTGAAACATAATTTTAACATCAAAATGCATTTATGGTCTGAAACTAATTTATCACTTAATTTTTTTGTTCTTCATAGTTACAGGCTCACCACATATCTACAATAAATTATGGATCATTCTTAAATATTGATAAATTAGGGATCATTCTTAGATCTAGAAGCGATGAAGGGTTTACGATGGTAGAAATTCTAAAGGAAAATAGCCAATAAATCGATTTTGATTTTGAAAGATTTTTGATAGATAATATTCTATTTTGTAAATATACTATTTACGTATACCTTGTACTATATACGTTTTAAAATGAATTGTTTGTTTTGATTAAGGATGTTAAGTGATTTGATTAGTGTTTTATATGAAAAGCTTTGGGTTCCCTATATATTATCTTAGGGTTTAGTATTCTTCCATCAAAAAGTATTTAATTGATTATTTGGATTCATCAGAACAAACGTTTCTATTTGAACAAATATATACTATTCTATTTTCTGTGATGATATGTATAGAACTTGGTACTACTATTCACTTTTTAAAAAATTTGTTTCCGATTTTTAAAATTCAAATCATGTTAGATAAACAAAAAAAAATCTGTTTTTTTAATAGTATTATTAGTTTTAACCAAATAATAATTTTAAACTTACATAGCAAACAAAATTGAATGGGATGAATATATTTTGGTCACTTTTTTGGTTGCTCCACGCGCTACCACCTCTTTCTTGACAAGTTGAAGGAGTCTGTGGTCTTTTTAACACATACATGTGTTACTTACTATATTATACAGTTTATGGTGCTATATTCTTTATTTCATCTTCCAAATAGGTTATTTTTGCAATTCACCCAAAAAAAAATGTAGGATGATGATGGGAAATAAGAAAAACCATAGGGACATCTCGAATTTTAAAACCTATGAAAACTCAAAAGCTATTTCACTTTTTTTTTTAGAAGTCTTAGACTCTGCACTTATCTACATCTCATTTGTCCACGTTTTATTTCCCTTTTGTGTTCTTTCACAAACATTTATCACTTCTACCTTGGTATGTCTCACTCTCTCTATATAATTTCGAAATGTATTGAGTAGTAATATTTTAGTGGACTAATCAAACTGTATCACATGATCACATGTGTCTCACAAACATACTTGTTTGTACAGTGTTCAACAGACCCAAAATCAAACGTATGTATCAACAGACCCAAAATCAAAGTTAGTCGGTCGATTAACTCGGATTTACGTTGTGGCCTTATTGCTTATTGGTTTATCCTTCCAACTATATATCCACACCCATGAACGATCCAGTTACAAATCTGAAGGTTGCTCAATTTACTCAATTAGATTATAGCCCAATATTCGGGCCCAAATATGGATATTAGTCTCTGAAGTCCCAACGTTTAGGTTGGTAATTTTGTATTTGACCTTTTCTTTTGAGTTATTTTTAATTTTGCATTTGACCTTTTCTTTTGAGTTATTTTTGTAAAAAGATATATTTTATTTCTGTTAGTTTACCCTTAAAATAATTAACGATCACATTGCACATAATTATGATATCATTTAAGAAAAAAAATCGGCTTATTAAAAAAAAAAAATACATCAGTTGAGATACAGGCTAACTAACGCTTTGAAAAGCCAGCCTAAGTGCCTAACATAAGTTAATTTTAGACAGATATTTTTTCACTTGAGATTTTCAAGTTTTATTAGATTAGTTTAGTAATTTTTTTTTATAAATTAATAGAACATTTGCCTTTATTTCTGTTAAAACTCTAAATGAAAAAGTATGTATTGGAAGTTGACCTGACCCTAAGGTCCCCAACTCTCACCGAACTAGTACTCGAATATTCGAATTAAGTACTGATTATAAAACTTGACACCAAAACATGTTTGTTTAGTCATAAAAATCTATCACCTAACAAATTAATTGAAGTTTTCGTAAATACCACACAGTTAAAAAGTTGTTTCATAAAGAAAAGTATTTCGTATTTTTACACAAGGTGTTGCAAAAAAAAACGTTGTGTGAAAAGATTAAGATATTTAATTTCATGAGACGGAGAAAGTAACAACCAATTTGTCAACCTTCTAATAACGATAGAATATAACATAATTGATACTGGAGAAAGTAAGATATGAACAAATCGTGTATTTATATATCTATATAAAAAAGAGAATCGATAAGCTTTGTGGTTATGTTTGATAACCCGTCATATAAGAAATAAAGTATCATACTTTTTGGATCTAATCTATCATATATGGACATTGATTATTCTTGTTTTTAGCGAATTGCTATCACTAAACTAATCATATCTGTTAGTCCCACAGATTCCACATGCATATGTTTAACAGTAGCCCAACCAATATGTAACAATGAGAATAAACTTAAAGAGATTCAACCACTAAGAAACTAAATAAATTATCCTCTCGATTATTTCCTTATAATTGTTCCCAAAGATATTTGTTGGAACTTGGAACTTTAATAAATTAACAATTTGAGAATGTGTTACACCGAAGCTCAATGACAGAAGACAAAACTCCACTTGTTTTTTTAATCTGTATTAT